CGAATTTGTNAGTTAAGCCTACTCCTCAACTGTAGTTTGGTACTGCGTCCGTGGAACGGGTAGGGCCAAATTTGGCGGGTAATGTTGACTCATTATTGCGAAGTACTTGACACCATGCATCTCTGTGTCGATTAAAATATATTAAGGCAGGGTTGAATTTAAACGGTATCACATCACAGTTTGCGAGTCAAAATGAACCCATTTTGAGATCCAATATTTCTTTTGATTAGCCAAAATTAAAATTCATCTCGACAATCTGCAAATCAAATTAATTGTATATTTATAAAGTATTGAAATATGACAACTCTTGGCAGTCTCCTGCGGAACGGACGGAATCTCAAAATTTAACTTAATAAGCTAAAAACTAAAATTTGGTGTAAATTGCTAATCAAATTGTTTGATCTAGATTGAACCCTGGATCAAAGCGTATTGCTTTTTACATGTTAGGCCAAAATCAGTCAAATTTGAAAACGTGGCTAATGAGGGGTTAACCAGAACAAATAAGAAGTGATGGTATATATTGTATCGTTTCAGGTTCAAATTCTGACATAGAAACATATGGTAAATCACGGTTGTATTTTTTATGTGGTTGTGAGGAAGATGATAAGAACATGCAAATAAAGTGTAGAGATGGTGATGTTATTCAAATGGAACCATTCGGATATATAATGAGAGACAGTACCAGAAAGGACATAAATTATAGCTCCCTCAGCTACGAAAAATGCAAGAAGAAATTTAGACCCGAGATTTTAAACCTAGAAACCCGTTTAGAAATCTATAAGAAATGTACTCTAAGAAACTCCTGTTATACAAAAATAGCCGGAGTAGAAGAGGGCCAACAAAGAATCGTTAATCATCCTTTCTACTGTCATTCTGGTAAGAATATTCGTCATTGTAGTAACAGTTCAATAGAATAGAGTTGTTAACTAAATCAATCAAAAACAATTGTTCATAAAACTTGAAGCTGAAATGTTGAAAATTCATGATATATGAATTTGTTTGCAATGTATCTACAATTGTTTGAAATAGCTATATTGAGAAATCCTCACAAATAAGTAGCTCTTCATTTACCTCATTATATAGGGCAGCGGTTATCAATCTTATTTGGCCCAGGGTCACATTTTCAGTTAGGAAACGGCTTCAAGGTACATCCCTCCACCTGACAAAATGTACTTTACCATCATAAATATCAACATTCATTATTGAGAAAATATAGAGGCTTCGCAGTCCTAAATTCGGCAGATAACCGCTGCTGTACGAGATGAAACTAACTAAATATTGAATTTTTACTTTTTTCAGAATCGTCTATCAAAGATATATCACAGGAAACAGTTGAAAACCTGAAGAATCCAATATTCTATTTTACTGGAGAGAAGTTTAGAGGACAGAAGATAGATTGTGACTGTTCTATTACTAGTTTAGGTTCGCTGCAACTTGAACTTTTCTTCATCCATTTAAAACCAAGCACATCTTCCAAAGTGAGATTTCTTACACAAAATTTTCTTCTGTTTGAATCTTCTGTCGACGGCATTACAGTGCTATATACATACTACAGCTACATTGTTCCAGAATTTCAACTGGAGATACGAGGAATGAAACCAGATGTAGAGGATGTTATATTTTTTAGATTAAGGGGTAAGGGTTTATATTTTAGATATCATCATTGGTGCTCGAAATTATTAAAGATTATAATGAATTAAGACCTATCCGCTAATCAAAAATCAGTCTGATATACCAAACAGGAAGTCAGAAATATAGACCAAATGAAAGTCCTCTATCAATTGCATCTTCTTGAGCTAGGACTGTATAGCTCAAATCTTTAATTTTATGGATTTATTTTGTTGTAAGAATTGTAAACATATTTTTAAGGGTCGGATCTGTCTGTAAACTGTGGAGGTTGTACGAATTCAACTGGTAAGACTTTTCGATGTTATACAAAGAAATTCTATTTTTCGTACTTTCGATCTGTTAATTTGACCTTTAATGTAAAGGGCAGCATAGTACCAGTGTCAATAACGGACCATCAAATTGACTTACAGAGGAGGGTGTCGCAGAGTGAGAGTACAGATATTAAAAACAAATTGCCTGGGGACAGAGCCCAAGCCTACTTGCCCAAGGGGCTTCTGTTGAGCCACTGTAACCTATCCTGAAATCTACTGCAAGCCATTCTCTACCACGTATTTGGTGGAGTGTAGATTCTGCATGATTGATGTACTCCCAAAGAAGAGTGGTTCTTACTGAGCGACACATACAGAAAATCGTGAACAAATATTCGGCCCAAGGGTCACATTGAACTTTCTAGAAGTATGATTTTATACCCATTCATGGTTAATTGTTGAAGTAGTTTC